CGATAAACAGCTGATCAGCTGTTTGTCGGCTCAGCGCGCTAGTCTGGATTCTCCCGCGCTGACCTGAAAGCCCTTTATCGACCTCCCCGTTATTCCTCGTGGGATGAGGTTTACCGGGGTGGTCGACAAAGGGCTTTGATGTCGACAGCGGAGCGTCCAGACTAGAGCGCTGAGCCGACAAGCAGCTGATCAGCTGTTTGTTGGCTCAGCGCGGCAGCCATGTAAATTTAAATGAATCGCCGCTTCATTTCCCTTTGCCCAATAAACAAATCTACATGGCTCCATCGACGGAGTCATGTAGTGTAGACATACCCTAACAGTCCATTTATCCAATCCATAGTCCCTTAACTTCCTGGCAAGAATATTGTGGGTCACTGTATCAAAAGCTTTGCTAAAGCTGGCACGGGGGGCTTTGGGAGGACCAGAAATAACTTATTTGAATATTCATCATTTGCTTAATGAATATGCACATATGCAAATGAATGTTACCAGTCCTCCAAAAGCTCGTGAATAGCTTTACCGGTCACTGTGCCAAAAAGTTTGGGAACCGCTGGTCTAGACCAACCCTGACAGACATTTATCTAACCTACTCTTAAATATCTCCAGAGATGGGGATTCCACAACCTCTCTGGGCAATTTATTCCAGTGTTTGACCACCTTGACAGGAACTTTTTCCTAATGTCCAACCTAAACCTCCCTTGCTGCAGTTTAAGACCATTGCTTCTTGTTCTATCATCACAGGCCAAGATGAACAAGTTTTCTCCCTCCTCCTTATGACACCCTTTTAGAAACCTGAAAAAGGTTACCATATCCTCCCTCAATCTTCTCTTTTCTAAACTAAATGAACCCAATTCTTTCAGCCTTCCCTCATAGGTCATGTTCTCTAGACCTTTAATTATTCTTGTTGCTCTTCTCTGGACCCTCTCCAATTTCTCCACATCTTTCTTGAAATGCGGTGCCCAGAACTGGACACAATGCTCCAACTGAGGCCTAACTAGTGCAGAGTAGAGAGGAAGAATGACTTCTCATGTCTTGCTCAGAACACACCTGTTAATGCATCCCAGAATCATGTTTGCTTTTTTTGCAACAGCATCACACTGCTGACTCATATTCAGCTTGCGGTCCACTAGAACCCCTAGATCCCTTTCTGCCGTTCTCCTTCCCAGACAGTCGCTTCCCATTCTGTATGTATGAAACTGATTGTTCCTTCCTAAGTGGAGCACTTTGCATTTGTCTTTATTAAACTTCATCCTGTTTACCTCAGACCATTTCTCCAATTTGTCCAGATCATTTTGAATTGTGACCCTATCCTCCAGATTAGTTGCAACCCCTCCCAGCTTGGTATCATCTGCAGACTTAATAAGCGTACTTTCTATAACAATATCTAAATCGTTGATGAAGATATTGAACAGAGCCGGTCCCAGAACAGACCCCTGCGGAACCCCACTAGTTATACCTTTCTATCAGGATTGTGAACCATTAATAACTACTCTGAGTGCGGTTATCCAGCCAGTTATGCACTGGCATATAGACAGTCATTATAGACAGACGCCATTGCAGGCAGATGGTTCTGCAAATCCCTTCATGTCTTCAGTCCCCAAACTGAAGCAATCAACAGTTATGGTGGAAAATCCAAAAAGAGGGAAAGATAAACTACTGGGAGTTCTCATTGGAGTCAGATGAACAACAACAATAATCAAAGATGTGCTCACCTTCATGGCCTCTAACATTTTGGTGATGGATACCTGCGATATTAACAGAGGGCTGAGGACCATTAGCTACAAGGATCTACTGACCAAACTTTATCTGCTGAAAGAAGCGTTTGGCTATGTTCAGAGGCACTGCCGTCTTTATGCCAGTCCTGAAGACACCAAGGCCCAAGTGCTATATTTTAATCCAAACTGAAAAAATCTCTCTCTCAAATTGAGCAGTGGCGAAAAGCTTTGTATGTGTGTGTGCGCTAAAACAAGGAGACGTACCCATAACCCTGAAACGCTGCCTTGTAATTCACATGGCTAATGTTTTGAGTAGGGAATTCTCTCTTAGGGATTTGCTTTGCAATTCATTTTCACTCTACAGCTTTATGGTCAATGTGCATATCAAACACTCCGACTATATGAGAGCTCACTGGAGACCCCAGTTTACACATGAATGTCTGAGGCACTTTGTTACAATCAGTTTCTACTTACAATCCATCCGCCGCCGTCTGTATCCATGTCACAAAACACCATCAGGGCAGCACAGTCTTTGGGGTAGATGGTGTACCAGCCACTCAAAACCTTCCCTCTGGCTAACAGCTCCTTGCAGTTCTTCGTGCCTGCATAGCACAGGTATTTAGAATCAGTTATGGTGGAAAGGAGAGATCCATGGTGATAGTGAGTCAAAACAGCCTGATTCTGAATTTACTGGGTTGAGATTTGTGCATGGAATGACGACATGCAAAAGGCATTTGTTCAGGATGAGCTAACTCAAGGAGATTTTGCCCATGGCAGTTCTTATCCATAGCACAAGCATCCATTCCCTTTGAAAAACGCTATCCAAAACATCACAGTCCTCGTGCCATTTAAAGCATTAAAGCGCTTTAGCATCAGACTGAAAACAAGCGTTCGACAGGGCTGCTTTCGGTAGCCAGCTGCTGTGACAGAGGGAACCTGTGGCTGTTGTAGGGACAGCACTGATAGCCTTACTTGCACGACGAGGGCAGGACTCTTCCGGGGAGTGTGAGTAACACAAGTTGGATCTCCCTCTCACCCCACCCAATGGCTGTGTGCACCACCCCCATTTATCCAGTCTTGCTCACGAGAGAGAGGCAGGATTAGAACTGCTCTGCCCAGTGGAGAGTGACAAGCTTCCTAGGGATGTTAAAAAGCAGTTAATAGTGTAACCGTGTAACTATTAACATTCTTAGCGGTTACACACCGCGGGCACCGCATTATAAAGCTTATGTTGCAGAGCCCAGAGTGCAGCCAGCTCCTGCCGGCTGCCCTGCCCTGCCCCCTTGAACACAACTTCTAAGATGGCTCGCGGCACATACTGGCTCACGGACCTGCTAGGGGGAGCCGGCTGCCACCCTGCGCAGAGGGCTCTGATACGGAGCCCGGGGGGGCCGGGAGCCGGCGTGTAACCATTACAGAAACTGATACGCTCATGCTAACCGTTTAAACGGTTACACGTTTACCTCCCGAGTGCCTGCCGCCCGGTCTCTGCCCTGGGAGGTCAGGTGCGTCTCCCCACCGCGGGAGGAGAGAACAGCCGGCAATCCTGGCAAACACTCACCATTCTCACACAGGACGCCATCCATCATCTCCTTGCCTGCGCAGAGAAGAAACATGAGGGGAGTGAAGTGAGGGCGGAACATGCGCGCCTTCGTCCTAAGCACCCACTTGCTCCTGCAATCTAAGCAGCAGGGGCTAGTCCCTGGAGCCAAACCATGTCACAGCGCGGTCGGAAAGGAGCAGCCAGAGGCAGCACAACATTAACACGCACTCGGACAAGACCAAGACCAGAGCCTGCATCCCAACTCTGCCCAGCCAGTGAGGGGAGATGGAGTGAGCAGGGCTGGAGCCTGGGAGAAGGGGAGGGGCAAAGGTATTTGGGTTGGAGGGAGAGCCTGGACTGCACTTCCGTTCAGAAAGCGATCATGCGCTTACAAGGGTTGGGGAGCCCTGGCTGAAAATAGAGAAACATAAATATTCGCTCTTCGGCGCATCTTCTTGTCTGCCATGCTGTGCTGTCCG